CCCATATTGGCTAAGGCACTACAAACATTGATTATATCACATGCAGTTATCCCACTGAGCAGAAAACTGAGCACCAGCCTGCTAGAGTTCAGCATGCCAACTTGATGGACACCCAGTCCCTACTGAATGAATCTCATTAACTGATTGACTCATATATAGGATTTTGGATTTCAGTCTGTAGTTGTTCATCTTTAGATTTTAATTTTGCAAAATGTTACATATGCATCCATATACTTCACTGAACCTAATAAACAATTCATCAAATCAGTGCATAGACTTGAGGAAACCCAATTCTAAGCACATTTGCTCAGAAGTAAGGCATATATAGGGACGCGGGTGGCGCTGTGGGTTAAACCACAGAGCCTAGGACTTTGCTGATCAGAAGGTCAGCGGTTCAAATCCCTGCGACGGGGTGAGCTCCCGTTGTTCGGCCCCTTCTCCTGACAACCTAGCAGTTCAAAAGCACGTCAAAGTGCAAGTAGATAAATAGGTACCGCTCCGGCGGGAAAGTAAACGGCGTTTCCGTGTGCTGCTCTGGTTCGCCAGAAGCTGCTTAGTCATGCTAGCCACATGACCTGGAAGCTGTACGCTGGCTCCCTCGGCCAATAAAGCGAGATGAGCGCCGCAACCCCAGAGTCGGTCACGACTGGACCTAATGGTCAGGGGTCCCTTTACCTTTAAGGCATATATGCGTTCAGTGAGACTTACTCTCAAACGAATAAGCGTAAGACTGCAGCCTTGGTCATCTTCATGGTGTCTCAGGACTGCAACAGCAGATTAGAGTGTTGGGTGCTCCTGTACAGGGTGCCAGCCAGCAGTGCGCTCTTCCTGTCCAGTCCATTGCAAGGATTGCTGTCAGGGCAGGATTCTGAGGCAGAGGTCCAGCAGAATGAACAGAGGGATCCCCAGTCACAGCAGGGTTGGTTTTATTTTTATTTTTTGTTTGTTTTGCAGAAAGAAGCAATGATCACCCTAATTCAATCACAAAGATGTTTCCAACTACCTCCTAACCATTAGCTCTTATCAGCCATTAAACAGCAATATACTTAACCACTTTAACAACTTGTTATCTCAAACAGAACACCGTAACTCTCGCCTTCCCCGTTAATTGATATCACTTGCAAAAATTAAGAAAGAATGTAAATAAACCCTTGACTTATCTTCGTGCATGCTGACTTCCATAGAGAAGTCAGCACATCTTCTGGGTGAAGATTATACGTGAAGCTCACACCTTTTGCACAGTGACAAGAGTAATTATACTCAAAATATCATGGCAGAAATGAAGTGAATGGAAGGCAAATTAATTAACTGAACCCTGGCTGAGTAGTTAAATACTGAAAATAATAAATGATCTGGAAGACGAGAGAAAAATGAATGAGTTTGTTGGAAACATGGCTCTGCGTTCCATGATACAGTGGCATTTCAAGACCACCTTCCAAATGCTTGTTTATGTGACTTTGTTCTACAAATAAGACCACAAGGGAAGACTCAGAGAAACAATAGAAGAATAGAAGAATGTTTATTGAGTTAAATTTAATTCTTAGAGAATATGTTGTACTTAATACTAAGGTCAGAACCAAGAGAAGAGACAGAAGGATCAGCAAGTGGTAGCCTCCACATTCTGTTCTCCAGGTCTCATCAGCCCAGCCAGTATGGCCAAGTGGTCAGGGACGATGAGAGTTGTAGACCCCAACAACAGCTGGAGGGCAGAGCAAGGTTGGAGAGACTCCTCCACAATACATGACAATCCATTTCATGGCTTCCATGACTTAGAGCAAGCCCTGATCTCGGCAAGGATTGTTGACTCTGGGTTCAGTTCAACCTCTGAGTCAGATGAATAGGTATTTTGAAAGAGCAGCACAAGGGGAAGCTGCCCTGAGGAAGGAGCTGGGGCTTGATAGTAACTCAGATCTCTTAAGTTAATTCATGGCTAAAGGCTTAGACTCAAGCCTTATTGAATGGAAGAAGAAGAAGCAGGATTAGAAAGCATTGTACTGTAGATGGTATCTCCTTAGCCCAGGGACAATGAACCTATGGTTTTGCAGGTACAGTTGGACTTCGCAACTCCCATCAGTCCCAGCCAGAATGGCCATAGGTTCCCCAACCTTGCATTAAGAAAGAATAGTCATTTTCCAGGTGTTGAAATTGGTACAATAAAGAAAAATGTTCATTGTTCTACAGGCTTACCCCAACATCAGCCTGGTCACATTGTTTCTGCAGGTTTTTCTAATGCTTGAAACATAAGATTCCCTTACTGAGGTTGACCAGAGGCACAATGAATTGCTGTGTACATCAAGAGTAACAATAGTTCTTCTCCTATGAACTTTCAACTCTGTTGAAAACTTTTTTCTGCCTCTAGCCTTTCCAGCTTGTCTAATCATAAATTGAAAAGGAATCGCTCCAGTTTTAAAAAATGAGACCAATAAACCATTGTTACCTGCAGTGATGCTGAGCCAGGCATCGCTTGGCAATGTATTATTCACCTGAATGCTGCAATATTATATTTCTCCCTCATCTATTGTTGTTTGCAAAGTCACTGTAGATTTTGGAAGCAAGCCAGAAATGTTTTGCAGACTTGCTTCATCCACAGGCATCAGAAAATTAACCAGAAGGTAGATCAATAGCTAGAATTATTTTTCATCTTTAAAAATAGATAACAGAGAGTGACGGGGGAGAAAGAGGGAGGGAAACAAAGCTTTTAAAAGCAGCAAAACTTATATATGGCAGTTACAAAAGGGGGGAGCCTTCATTCATCTGTGTTATGTTACCCCTTATCTGTTATCAAAGCAGGTTTGTGCTTCAGATTCTCCTAGTAATAGAATCTCACTCTCCTGAAAGATGAAGCAGTGAATGGAACTGACAGGGCCTGTCTGTTATGTGCTCTGGATGATTGCTTATAATTGGGACTGTGGCTTCTTGATGCTACATTTGTTCCCTGAAGCTTTAGTTACAAGCCTTAAGTAAAGTGTACAATCTGTTGATTTGGAAAATGGCAGCAAATGGGGGATAGGAGGTGTAACATAACATTTTGTAACATTTTCTGAGCAAGAGGGGAAACGCTTGCCCAAATATTTTTATTAGGCAAGAGAAGATCATGTGTTCAGAAAGCCTGTTGAAGATTTTGGGGTGGGTTGTTGTTGTTGTTTTCTGCCCTCTGCTAGGGTCACTACATGTATCCTACTTTACAGTCCTCTTTTCTTGAAAGACAGTCAAAGGACAGCCGTCTGTCTGAAGGTGTCCTCTGCCCAGTCCAAGTTGGCTTGGAAGGTACAGAACCATAAAAAGCTCACAGCTTCAAAAGTCAGCAGAATATGTGTGGTATTGCTACACATAATTTTCTCAAATGCGTTAGAAAGGATGAACAATTCCTTCTATGGTAGCGGATTCTAAACAGCAGTAGAACAAATGTGGGGGTCTCCCATGATGCTAGGTAGATATTTCATAGCCAATTTTAATTAAAATATATTTGCAAGCTTTATGCTGACTAAAGCATGGAAATGTAGAAGGAAGTCTGCTCGGAATTTGTGAATTCATGAGGTCTGTGCGGGTACCTAAGGGAAGTGGATCTAACTCTCTTTCATGTCTACAAGGCAACTTTTTCCGACACAACCATTTCATTCTCTCTCCACAGAACGATCTTCATTTAGATACATTAGAATAGTATTTAATTTAATTGATAACCTGGTGTTGTGTGCAGTCCTTTGCTGATTACAGGGAAACCTCCCACTTGCCTGCAATAGAGTTGGCAATGTGAGCATCTAGTGCAGTTGTAATGCACGCTGGAAGTTATTCCAGGAATAAAGCCTTAATTCCCCCTCTGTGGATGAAGTGACTGGTTCAAATGAGAGCAGCCTCTAAAAAAGGGACAATGAAGTAGAAGCAGGGTATAATTTTACTGTCCCTGGTTTTGTGCCCTAAATTCCCCTCATTGCTTCACCTTCTTGGTAGGAAAAGCTTGCCTGAATTTGTATGTGTTGCCAGCAGCAATAAAAATTAGCAACCTTGGGTAGAGGGGGGGTGTTCCTTCCCTTCTCCTAAGCACAGTTATAATCACAGCTTGTTCTACATTAACACCGTTTAGGGGGTGAACACATGGCTTGAGATTGCTAGCATCAGTTGCTACAGAGTGGGCTGTCATGGTGCATTACTTACTTTCTCTGTTTTATCCCTTTCAACCGAGTTGACATATTGAGAAAATGGGCTAAGTGTACAGGAAGAGAGTGGCATATGGTTTCACCTCTGTCTCGCCCAACCTGCCACCCAAGTGACTGCGCTAACACAAAACTGTTGCTGCATGTGACAGACGAACCATGGCAGACTTAAGACTGGTATCCACATACCTGGGGCTAAACCTCATTGAACGCAGTGGGACTCCCTTCTCGTAGGCATGCATATAATTTCACTGTCCCATCCGTATAATCTGCAACCCTCTTGAAACAGCGTAGTTTGCCCTTTCGATGCAAAAACATTATGCCTGCCACATGGGTAGCTCAGTTGGTTACAGCGTGGTGTTGATAATGCCAAGGTTGCAGGTTTGATTCCCGTATGGGATAGCTGCATATTTCTGCATTGCAGGGGGTTAGACAAGAAATTCACACTAAGATGCTGGATTTTTCTCATGAGATTTTTTTTTTTGGGGGGGGGGATACCACAAATTACTGCACAAATGTGGAGAACTGAATCTATGACTGGAATAATGTGAAACCAAGAGAACCAAAACTGACACACCCTCCCATCCCTACTCCTAACACAACACACCTTGCTGCATTGTAATCAGCATCATGGAAGCCAGAAGGAAAAGTGTTTGTGGCGATAAATGCAGCGAAGGGGTTGTCCGCTGCTAAAAGTGGGATGGTCAAAAGGGCTCTTTGGACACACACAACCTCTTGGAGATAAACCGTAAAATAACTTTTTGGATACTGGCTCTTGTAAAATTTGATCCCAGGTATTAATGCAGCTGAAATTCTTACTTCTCCCCTTTCTTTTCTTTTTATCTTCAGGGAACCTCAAAATTTGTATCCTCCCGAAGTTAGCAATACAAAGCTTCAGTATGCAGGATGGGGACCCAAAGGCCAACAGCTGGTAAGGAAACCTTTTGCAAGTGGCTGTTTCGTTACAAATTCATTTGCACCAATGTGAACTGCAGCTGCCAAGCAGGTAGTCGGGTACCTGCACACAGTACTTCATGTAAAATGAGAAGCAGCACTGAGATGTGGATTAGGCCAAACCTGGCTCTGCTTCTCCAGTTGTAAAATGGGAGTCATGCAGCTGTTTGTGAAGTTTATCAAGAACGGGGTGGCAAACACACCTTTTGGGCTGAGGGAGCATTTACGTGATTAAAAACAATGCACGCAAATAAAAATTGCTCTGCTAGATAAAATCAGAACTCTGCCTAGTCCCAGCAGCAGCCAGCCAGATGCTTCTGGGAAGCCCGACAAATAAGGCCATGAAGGCAAGAGCCATCCCTGTTGTTTGTCCTCCAGTAACGAGTATTCAGAGGTAGAGTGCCTCTGAAACTGGAGGTTCAGGGATAATAAAAATGGCATAGCAATAGGAGCCTTTTGCATTACAGTAAACAAATTAAAGCACATACTATTTCTATGCATTCCAGAGTCCACAGCTGGACAATACCTTAATAAGAGGCAACCAAAATTTCAGAAAAGTGAGCAAGGTTTTTAGTTCACTGTTGCTCACTATTTTGTGCCATTTGTGGTTGGTTCTAATAAAAGGAACCTTCTTCAGATTGAGGCAGACTATCCCTCTGCCGGGAACTGAATTTGGGTCCTTCTGCATGTGAAGCAGATGCTCTCCCACCGAGCTATATCCCTTCCCCAAAGTAGGTATTGCACAACTCCGAATTTCAGGGGCTTTCTCGTGGAGTAGCATGACTTCCTCATCTTTGTACATGCCTTGAATAATTTTGAAACAGGCCCTCTTCCTGCAGACCAAGCAAGAAGTTTCACCGCTGATAGAACCATGGGGTGGGGCAGTCTCTGTCTTGCACAGGAGGCAGGGATGGAGAGAAGAGAGAGAGAGAAGGAAATGCTGATGGCTCAGTCTGATCCTTTGAGGATGCTCTGCGATGCTGCCAGTCTTGTGCATTGAGTTTCCCCACAGCCGGTTCCCTTTTGCTCTTTGCGATCATTGGATTAACACCGTGCCACATGATGCAGCTGTGCATAAAATAAAGCACTCCTGCAAGACTGACTTCGGGAGCTCTTGAAGGAGTTAGGAGGGAGAAAATGATTTACTACTATTATTCAGTTCTTTAATTGGTTTGTTTGTTTTTGCTTTCTACGAACGGAGTGCATCCGCGGTTGAGACTGGGTGATTAAATTATGTGCATTTCTGTTTTCAGTCTTGTGCATTAGTTGGGCACGCAGGAAGTCCTATCTGGGTCCCTCCTCCACCAGCAGTTCAGATGGAAACAACTGTACAAACTATAAGCTGCAATAAGCTCTGTGGGGAGAGTGTTCTCCTTTTATTCTGCACAGTACCTGCTTTGGGGAGGAATAAGCCTCAGTTTCCAATTTGGTGCTTAGGGCAGGCAATGGAATGATACACCATGGATGTAGACAGCTCATCAACCAGTCCTGCATGTATCCCTTTCTGTCCTTACTGATTGCTGTGAAAGCAGCAGGTGCTGCCAGTGTTTACTTAAGGCGCTGACATACAATAGTTTGCGTTCAGTGAAAATTTTCAAACTTTCCTTGCCTACCTTGGAAACGGTGGGTGTTCTAGAAGATTCTGAGATATTACTCATTGCCCAGGCCTTTTGAGAATATACCCTGTAACACAGCCAATGCTCACTCGTGGCTCCATATTGCACACAAGCAAACCATCCTAGTGGTGCAGCAATAAAACTGCTAGGACATTTGCAAAGCTAAGCAGGGTCTGGTATGGTTTCAGATTGGATGGGGTATCACCTTTTGAGATTCCTGGAGGTTGTTCCGCCAGGCCTTTGGTCAGGGCGCAGCCTGACTCCCTCCTCTGGCAACCTGCACAGAATTTTGCTTAATCGGATGCCATCAATTTGATTTTAATTAATTTTTATAATGAAATATTTTTAGAATGTGTGTTTTTTTGACTGTTTGATTATTTGATTGTTGTTAGCCGCCCTGAGCCCGGCTTCGGCTGGGGAGGGCGGGATATAAATAACATTTATTATTATTATTATTATTATTATTATTATTATTATTATTATTACTCTCAGGGTCCCTTCCAACGCTTCTATGATTCTGTGATCCTGCTCGCATATTTCACCATTGGTAACTGTGAACAAGTCTACTTCCAGGAAAGTTTATTCCCTGTAACTGAGCTTCTCATAGATAAATCCCTAATTAGGCATGGTAGGGATTCAGTTAAGTTTGCATATAAAGGTGAACCTACCAAATTCATCTTTTTCCAAAACAATACACAAATTGAAACACAGTCATCCTTTGAAATTTGCACTTATTTTGCAGTGCAGCTCTTAAGTCAAGCAATGTGGAGAAGGCGGAAGGAGAGTGTGACAACAATTGACATTCACACTTCTAAGAATTTGTGGTATATTTCTCCACCCAGGCAATCTGTAGTTTGCATAACAATGTACAGTGGTACCTCGGGGTACATACGCTTCAGGTTACATACACTTCAGGTTACAGACTCCGCTAACCAAGAAATAGTGCTTCAGGTTAGGAACTTTGAACTTTGCTTCAGGATGAGAACAGAAATCGTGCTCCGGCGGCACGGCAGCAGCAGGAGGCCCCATTAGCTAAAGTGGTGCTTCAGGTTAAGAACAGTTTCAGGTTAAGAATGGACCCCCGGAACGAATTAAGTGCTTAACCCGAGGTACCACTGTATAATGTTAGAAAAACAATATACACAAATGTGTTCTATCAAGAGATATTTTGCTATGCAAAAACTGTGTATATTGAGCAAAATTGCATACAGACACATGTACTTTGGAGAAATTTGTTCTAAAACAGGGTTTCCCAGACTTGGGTCTCCAGCAGTTTTGGAACTACAGTTCCCATCATCCTTGACCACTGGTCCTGCTAGCTGGGATGAAGGGAGTTTAGTCCAAAAAATCAGCTGGAGACCTAAGTTTCGGAAACCCTGCCCAAAAATGTTTGTGTGTTTTCATGAGGACTTTTATTTAAAAAACCGATTGAAAACTTCTGTGGAAATGTAGACAACTGAACTTAAGATTAGAGGAATGAGAAACTGAGAGTTACCAACAATGACAGATTTGGTCATCCCTAATAGTTGCTGAATGAACACCTGCTAAGGGCTAAAGAGCTGCGTTCTCAACCGAGTCACAGCAGCTGCCTTCGCCCTAGGTGCATCTAACCCCTGCCTCTTTTAATGGGCATCGGCATTCCAAAGACAGGGACGGATAGCTCTTCCATAGTGCTGCTGTCCTTTAAAGTGAAAATTTATGGGATTGCTCACGGCACCATCTACACACAAAGCATGCGCTCTGCCACTGAATTGCTAGAGCCAGTGTGGTGTAGTGGTTAAGAGCGGTAGTCTGCTAATCTGGGGAACCGGGTTCGCGTCTCCACTCCTCCACTTGCAGCTGCTGGGTGACCTTGGGCCAGTCACGCTTCCTTGAAGTCTCTCAGCCCCACTCACCTCACAGAGTGTTTGTTGTGGGGGAGGAAGGGAAAGGAGAATGTTAGCCGCTTTGAGACTCCTTAAAGGGAGTGAAAGGCGGGATATCAAATCCAAACTCTTCTTCTTCTTCTTCTTACATCTGGACCGCAAGGCGGCAGCGGCACTTCTGACACTTCTCATTCATTATATTTTTCACTGACTTGAACTCAGGCCTGTGGGTCTCAATGAGTCTGAGGAAGTTGTACAGGGCAGTTTTGGAAGTGGGGAAGAGCCTCATGAAAGGCTCTTTGGTTGCCGATTTCAATCCAGCCAGCTCTTTCGATTTGTGCACGAACATAAACCTGGCGGGTGTGTTTGTTTCTGAGCCGGGTTTCACAGAGCCCGCACCATTAACTTTCCACGATTCGATTCTCTCATATCTTTTCATTTGCGGTGACATCTGAGTCAAAACTAAGCTGCAGTCCACCATGTGTCATTCGGTTGGTTTAGGTGACTTGTAGGAGGTAAGCAGGAAGCCAGGAATGGAGAATATCATAATATTTAATAGCCATACCTATCTGTTCATTTGGAGGAGATGTCAAAGGGATAGCCTCAAGAGAAACAATCCATTAAACAATTGGGAAAGGGAAGTCTGTCAGGGCAATGGAGGAATCTCATTATGGCTACTCTTAGCTTCAGGAAGATGTGAGGAGCCTGGAATTTTGCATAACACCTAAAATGGTAGTTTTCAGACTCTGTGCTAGGGCAGGTTACCTATGATAAGGTTACCAGACATCCCCATTTCCTGGGGACTGATTTGTAAATCAGTCCCCTGACAAAATCCATCTATTTAGTAGGGAGTTGAAAAGTGTCCCTGGATTCATTGAAAAAAATCTGGTAACTTAACCTATGGCTGTCCAGAAGATGCTTAACTACAACTCCTATCATCCTTGACTATTGGCCATGCTGACTGGGGCTGAAACTTGAGGTCTAGCGCCATCTGGAGGCCACTGGCTTTCCAACCTGTTCTAAGGAATGCTGTGGTTCCTCAGAAGCTTATCTTTGGTGAAAAGATAGGAAATGGCAGACAAGCTCCTGACAGCTGTACAGTGGTACCTCGGGTTAAGTACTTAATTCATTCCGGAGGTCTGTACTTAATCTGAAACTGTTCTTAACCTGAAGCACCACTTTAGCTAATGGGGATTCCTGCTGCCGCTGCGCCGCCGGAGCACAATTTCTGTTCTTATCCTGAAGCAAAGTTCTTAACCTGAAACACTATTTCTGGGTTAGCGGAGTGTGTAACCTGAAGCGTATGTAACCTGAAGCGTATGTAACCCGAGGTACCACTGTAACTGTTAACTGCCAAAGTTCATTTATTTTTATTTATTTGTTTCATAAAATTTATGCACCACTTGATTGTGAAAAAACAAGACACAAAACACTTCAAAGCAGGTTACAAAAAGGTAAAACAGTAAAATCAAGAAAAAATAAAATGTTACTTTAAA